ACCGTTAAACCTCAGTCTGAAGTCCTGCCCAGCAACCTCATGCTACCTTTCGATTTCCTTGTGCCAGGATTGGTGCGGATGTAGTTCATGATACTTTTCCGCTGCAGAAACAGGGACAGCCAGAGAGAAACAGTGAGAGTAGCAGCAAAACAAAGCCAAACACGCAAATGAACTAGAACGAGAGAAACAACGACTGTAAGCATCTGTGTCGCAGCAAATCAATTACAAACTTGGGCCTCTCACCTGCCACCGTCGGGGCTTCGCCGGGCGAGACCTGCGAACGTGTGAGTAGTTCTCTAAGTTACGGGCCCTATCTAGACCCCCAAATAGCACTGCGCCCCCAAAAAGGACCTCTATAATTTGGAAACTAGCCATGTGGGTGGTTGTCAAAATTATGGTCCCTTTTTGGGTACCCTACATATTGGGTGCCGTATTATAGTAAGGACCCAAAAAGGGACCCCAATTTTGACAACCACCCATGTAGTCACGGTGCACTCACATTCCAAGGCAAGGTCCCCTGCGACACCTCAAAGCCTGAAGCGCAAACCCGAAATCCAAGCCCTACCAGGGGTTTTTGAGGGTCTAAAAACTATAGTACTTATAGTCTCCATTGTAGTTCCTTTTCTTGGTTAACCAATTTTATGGTTAGGACCCTATAGTAGAGATTTTGGTTAACCAAAAACAGGAACTACAATGGAGACTATATGTAAACCCCATGCAAAAGCTTCAAACCCTGAACCTTGTAGATCCCGTAGAGCACACCGAAAGAGCCCTTACCCAATGGGTCCAAGTATCATTATGGTATAAATATATATATATATATATATACTTATGGGGTATTTTGGGGTTCTAAGTATATACCATAATGACACTTGGACCCTTTGGGTTACAGCAGGCACACACCGATACGGTGAAAGTCAAAAAAGCCCCAGAGTCGATTCCGCATGTTCGCAGTGTATCGGCTCGCCTCTGTCTCCGGCTCTTCGGAAGCCTGGATAGGGTTTAGGGTTGAGGGGTTTAAGCGTTTAGCGTTTAGGGCTTAGGGATAGCAATGGCTGCAGAAAACACGGGAGTAGCACTGGTAATGGAGGTCGTCGTCGCATTTCTTAACCCAATCTGTGTGTGTGTGTGCGTCTGTGTTTTCTCTAACCCAGATCTTCAAACATATTTCTAAGCCAGAACAGAAAACGCAACATGATGGTCATTTATGCTGAAGCTGCAGATTCGAACTATCTCCTATTACATGAGCCATTAAGGCCCAAAACCCTGAAAAATCCCAACTAGACCCTACACACACCAGACCCTAAGCCCCAAAGCGCAAAGCCACAAGCCCTAAATCCAGAACCCTAGTCCCCTAAACCCGAATCCCGTAAACCGTCAGCCTAAACCCTTGGCCCTAAACCCGCAACCCCAATCCCTAAACCCGAAACCCCCTACACCCTAAGTTTCTAAACCCTAAACCCAAAGCCCTGAAGCCCCAAACCCTGAAACCGACCTTAACTCGGAATAACCTTCATTTTTTAAGGACTTATACAAGGAAATCACAATAAGGAACCCTAAAATGGTAGGTTCTTGAGGGTTAAAGTAAGCCCTGAAGCGTACACCCAAACCCTACATCCTAAACCCTAAACCCATCCTAAACCCGAATTCCCTAAACCCCTAAACCCCAAACCCTGAACCGTTAAAACCTAGGCCCTGAAGCGAAAAGCAGATCCAAGAAAGGATCGGCTTCGCCTCCTCCGAGTCGCTGTCGTCAAAGAAGTCCTCGTGTTTTTTTTGTCTTTGTCAAGTATTTTTTGGGGGGTTAGGGCTTAGTTTAGGGGTTTAAGGATTAGGGGTTTAGGGATTAAGCAGGGCTCCCTGTGTTGCCTTTCTAAAGATCGCTTTAGGTAGTTAATTTTTTCAAGCAGGTTTCTGTGGAATTATCCTCCCTGGTTCTGTCTCTCTGTATCTCAGACCTTCTGTCCCTCTCCTGGCCTCCCCTCGTGTCACGCTCTCTCTCTCACTCTGTGTGTCTCTCTCTCTCTCTCTCTTTCTCTCTCTCTCTCTCTCTCTCTCTCTCTCTCTCTCTCTCTCTTTCCCTCTCTTTCTCTCTCTTTGTCTCTCTTGCGGCCTGAGGTAGTTAATTTTTTTCAAGTAGGTTTCTGTGGAATTCTCCCTGGTTCTGTCCTTCTGTCTCCTGCTGTCTCTCTCCTAGCCTCCCCTCCCGACACCTCGCCAACGGTGTCACGCTCTCTCTCTCTCACTGTGGCTCTCTCTCTCTCTCTCTCTCTTCTCTCTTTCCTTCTCTTTGTCTCTCTTGCGGCCTCCCCTGCAGTCTGAAGGCACTGTGCAGCCCTCGCCCTTCCACCCCAAGTGGGCGACAGAGCACTGGCGCTGTCCCCGCTCGGCAACATGCACCCCTGTGTGACCGCCGGCCGCACGGTCAGGGGGAGAGGATTGTCGAAACGGGTGAGCACAGGATCCTGCCCAGCAGACGCATTAGCCCATGTGCTCTGCTGTCATCCACCGAAGTGGGTTGGCCAGAAGCAGGAACGTATGGCACTTCAGTCCCGACACCCGGCCAACGGTGTCTCGCATGTTCTGCGTGGGTAAGGACAACGACAAAGCAAGCAAGGTCAAGCTCATGCCAAGAACAAACATGCCATGCCAATCGACAAGTCAACGCAAGTCTCTCTCGCTCTCTCTCTCACTCTGTGGCTCTCTCTCTCTCTCTCTCTCTCTCTATCTCTCTCTCTCTCTCTCTCTCGTTCCCTCTAGTTCCCTCTCTTTCTCTCTCTCTCTCTCTCTCTCTCTTCCCCGGGGCATGAGGGGTGTTCGAAGCCCCCCGGCCCTAAGGGCCCCCCCGATGTTCGTGGGGCTTTGGAAGGGCGTGAAGATTTCGTGATGGTTTCTCTCTCTCTCTCTCTCTCTCTCTCTCTCTCTCTCTCTCTCTCTCTCTCCATCTCCGTAGCTCTGTCGCTGTCTGTCCATGTCGCTCTCTTGCTTGCAGTCGTGCTGTTTGTCTCTCCGTCCATAGTAGCTCCTCGTTGGGATTGCCTTATAGGATATTGGTCCTCTCCCCGTCTTATCTCTTGTAGTCATGCTGTCTATCACCTTCTTCAGGCGCTTACTAAGCCGTGCTGCCTCTTAGATTATCACCTTTTTCAGGCGCTGACCCTGGCTGTTTATCACCTTGTTCAGGCGAAGCCCCCACCGGAGTGCGCTGGGTCGGAGATGACAACCTTGCGCCAGCTTCACTGTCACCCGCAGAACGGTTCAACACTGCAGACCGACTGCTTGCAGACACCAGGTGCCTGTTTGTGTGGCGCCCCGCCGGAGTGCACTGGGTCGAAGATGACAACCTTGCGCCAGCTTCACTGTCAGCTGCACAAAACACTGCAGACCGACTGCAGACACCAAATCAAGACGCAGGTCCAAAGCTATTTGGTCTGCCCTCGCACTCGCACGACTGCCTATGGCACGGCCTGTTTGTATGGCCGCCACACAACAAAACACTTAGCGAAACTCCAGCTCCGAGAACGACTCAGGCTCTGTGACGGACCGATGATCATGAAAACTGCACATAAACCTAAGGCCTGCATTAAACCAATTCCGACTCCGAGCCAGCCTGCCGAATCGCTCACTCTGGAGTCCGAGAAAATTCACGAAACAGATCCGATTCTGCATCATGTCGCTCGAGGCTCAAGTTGTCACACGACTCCTCAGAATCGATAGTGAACTCGTCCGATTTGCGTTTCTTTGAATTGGCCTTGTTCGCCTTCTTGGCCTTCTTCGCCTTCCTTGCCGACTTGGACTTCTTTGACTGCAGGCTCACCCAAACTCTGCCCCGACTGAAGTAATTCATTGGCATCGGGAATCGCCGGACATCTTTCAAAACCCAGCCCCAGACCTTCTTCCACTTCCGGTAATAGGTGCTTGGAGCCAGGTGCAACGACTCGTACTCTTCGGCCGAGTTTGTGATGTCCATCCTTGGCTATAGATTGCTGCAACAGCACCATGTCTGTTCTTAAACAGCTCTTCCACGATGCAAATCTGAAACAAGCATTTCTGTGTTTGCAAGCAGGCCACACGCGGTCGATCGTTGCAGTGCCGTGGCAGAAGCCCTTCTTACACAAGCCGATTCTCTGTCCAATTTTGCTGGTACATCGACTTCGGATCTCCATCGTTTTCTTGCCCTCGAAGATCTTCGCCATCCAGGAATAATCCTTAGCGGCAGTCTTCTTTTCACACGCGCAGTTCGCGAAAGACGAACCAACTCGAGACAAGATGCGAGTATCAGCCCAGATTGCGGCAAACCAAGCTCCGCAGCGCTATCCATGTCAGCAGCGAAGGCCACCAGCGACTACACTCAACTGAAAACTCTGAGCCCGCCAGAACTGCGACCTGTGGGGCTGAAGAAGTCTAAGCTCCAACACAGGACGTGTCTGGATAAGTCTACGACGGCACCTCCAAGCTCGAAGCGGTTCCGACAGCACGTGTCTGGATCAGTCTGCGACTACTACAGTCAAGGCAAAAATGCGGCCGCTACAGATATCCCACAGCAATGCACGACAACACGACCAATCTCAACCTGACAGAGTATGGAAGCTTACATAACGACTTCACTCCAAGCTCCAGGCGGCGCGGACGGCACATCTGTACCTGGGCCAGGGGGGATTCCGGCAACGAACTAGCTAACAGCTAATCTATCTGCGAGCGAGTGCATAGGGAAAGCAATTTTTTCCATGAGGTCGGTGGCGACTGCAACAGACCAAGCTACAACCTAATTTGCATAGCCGTCTCTGTCTTGACATCGACTAAGCTCTGTCTTGACATCGACTAAGCTCTGTCTTGACATCGACTAAGCTCTGTCTTGACATCGACTAAGCTCTGTCTTGACATTGACTAAGCTCCTCATGCGACGTCGACTTGTCGACTGAGGCTCCCCCGCCTCGAATCGAAAGCCGTCCAATCGAAAGCCGTCCTGACATCGACCGGTGCTCTTCTGGCGACATCGACTAGGGCTCATCCGCCTCGAGCTCAATCTTGAAGACCCCCTCGAGAACCTTGACCAGGAACTGCTGCTCCAGGTCTTTGGATCGGTATGCCTGCGACTGCTCTGGGTATGATTTCAAGGCGGCTTGAGTCCTGTACAAGTAGCGCTCCAAGAACTCCCCGATCGGCTCGTCAGCGACTTCGTTGATCAAGCTGTTGTTGTACTCCGCGAACCATATCGTGCACAGCTGGCACACCAACTGCCTCGGCACCTTGGGATATCGCTTCTTCATGAGCATTTCCAGCTCCGTTCGTTCGACTCGAGCCGATGCCACCACGAGCTTCTCCAGCTCACGAAGTGCGACTCCATCCAGCTCCTGTCGTTCGACTGGAGACGATGCCATGGCCGGGACCTCCAGAACCCTAAAATCGCTTGACTCGACTGACGGCTGCGACTCAAGTGCGATATAGTTGCTTCCAGTCCAAGGGTCCGTGTGTCCTGGATCAGTCTGCGCGACTACACCGTCAAGGCAGAAATGCGGCCGCTACAGATATCCCACAGCATTGCACGACAACACGACCAATCTCAACCTGACAGAGTATGGAAGCTTACATAACTTCACTCCAAGCTCCAGGCGGCGAGGACGGCACATCTGTACCTGTGCCAGGGCGGCTCAGGCAACGAACTCTTCGTGACGGAATGATCATGTAAAAAGGCTTGACAGACGCAAGCACTGGTGAGTAGTTCAAGTTTGATGCGCAATTTTATGTCCGTTTCGCGACTTGTCCCCGTTGCCCCGGCGTGGACTGAATTTGCAGTCACACGAATCTTCGACGAGCCACCCGAATCTTCGACTCAAATGTCCAGCATCTCCATCCAACTGCTGGAATTGGCTTTGAGCACAAACCTGTGTAACATTTCTCAGAAAACCATAATCGGAGCACCCTCATCTCATGTGCGCACGAAGATTCGACTTCAGTCGATGACAAAGAAAAGCCCTTTGGACTCATGCTTTGAAACCCCTGCTCACCCCTCCTCAGTCGTCGACCACAGCTGCTCTCGTTGCTGCCTCCACTCGCGACCATCTTTCGACTGAAGCCAGTCCTTCAATCTCGCTGCCGCTGTCGACTTCGTTTGCGGCTTGCCTGTGTAGAGTCTGACATCTAACCTACAATGGACCTACAAGCCAGAGAGTTGCCTTCAATATTCCACTCATGCACACAGTACATGACCCTTCCAAACACAGACACACCCGAAGCATTTATGCAATTTAGCCCTGATGCGGTCTGTGCTCAGAAAAGGCAGCGGGCCAAGCCGATCACCACCCGCCATCGCCCTTGTCAATGCCCGAACAGTGGCCTCATTCCACTCGACTGGTTTGTGCTGTCGCCTTCGCAATTGCATGTCGTGCGGGAGTGCTTCTCGGCAGACACGAAAAACAAGGTCGGGGTCATCCGCAGAACGGCCGGTGGCTTGAATGCTAGCTTGACTCCTGCGCTTTCGACTCTCCAGAGCAAAGGAAGTCCCCTGTTGGAGGCCCAGTCCCTCACGCCTCTGCCGAGCGCGTTGCTTCAACAGGGTTGTCTTGCCAAGGTCGTCACGAAGGACATGGCTTACTGCCTCGACTAATGCTCTGTCTCGCGTGGCACCCAACATCTTGACTTGACCGTCTCGCATGTGAAGTCGATCAACGACTCTGACAGGGTGGATTGCTGCTTCTGCATTGAAAATCGAGTGCATCTGGCTGCCGACTCGCTCGCAATAGCTCCTCGGTCTGCGTACGGTGTGGCGTAAGCCGGCCCAGACCCCTAATAAAAACGTGCACAATGTGCCACAAAACGAGGAAAATCATTCAATGAAAGGCCGCAGATACCTTAATAATTAAACTAGTGTCGAGACAGTTCGGCAGTCAATCCTTCAGCCCTAGACCATCCCATTTTCATCGCTCCACTACTGACAAAACATGGACCAAAACAGACATAGCAATCCCAGCGACTCAGCCGCCGAGTGCGCTCGACTGTGATGGTGTATGAAGCACGCATGCCAGGAATGCAGGTAGCCATAATTGTCAACATCGCGTGGAGCATGCAAGTACGACTCCATGTCCACCGACGCAGACACCTTTGACAGATCCAATCTCGTCCTGTAAGCATGAACTCGGACAAGTTTGCCACCAAAGGGAGAATGCCTTCGTATGGACGCAAAACTCCCCGCTTGTCCACGGAACTGGCCAGCAAGACGTACCCAGCCACGATTCGACTTGTGAAAACCCACTGCCCTCAACGACTCGACTGCAAGGGGCACTGTTCGGCTGCTGGGACCGTGCAGAAACTCTGAGACGACTGAGCTCACACATGCTCGTGCAGCAGCGCCTGCACCCAAGCGCTTCCATTCAGGGTCCAGGGCCCTCGCGACTGTGCCTGACGTTCGCACTGGCTGCACATCACAGCCTGTCGCCACAAACCACCCATACCTGTCGCAGACTGCAGCATCGGTCACGTTCAGCAGAAGTGCAACATACTGCATGACGTGATACTCCTCTTGCCTCCATTGCCTCTCCACATAGTCAAAATCTGGCCAGGTCATGCGCGACCTGATCGGCAAGAACTTCTGGAAGAGATAGCGGAAAGCATCGACATGGGCTGCAGCAGGCCCTGAATTCTCCAAGATCTCATCCCATGCCCAAGCCTTGACTATGCAGCCACGGAGCTGGGAAACTTCAGGTCTCAATCCGACTGCGCCCCAGTAGTCAGCATACTCAGCCAGCAGAGATGTAATCAATTTCGACATCGACAACAGCGCTGAAGAAAGGCACTTGTGCAAATGTGGGTCTGCTGGGCTCACCACACATTTGGGACCCAGGGCAGCTCCAGACTTGTAAAGATTTTTGACTCCTTGCCTCAGTGTTCCATCTAATTAATTTACTGATGTTAACGGTTCTGGACTCAATGCACATGGGCTCTTTCATCACTTGGAAAAAAATTCTGCAACCCTTGCCCAACCGAGCCACATACCAGCTGGCGTTGCGCAAATCGACTGCACCATGTACTTCGGCATCACCCATGCCAGGTCTTGCGAGGTAGGGGCAGGCTTCTCGGTGCAGCGAGCCACCCAGCGAGGCACTTTCAGCCTTCGCACTCTGTTCCCGACTGTTTTTCTGAACTGGCATGTGCGACTTTCGTTCTTGATTTTATATGACCAGCATTGGCACTTCGGCGACAAGACACGCTGTCCAGCTGTGGAATCGACTGGAATTTGCATTCCTGAACTTCTGGCATAAGCAATTGCACTAGTAGCAGCCAATCTATTACGATTTTTCAACAGCAGGCGGCGACGCAGGACAGGACCACAGCACATAGCCACTTCAAAAGGAGGACCCAAGTAGACCCAAGTTACTCCGACGCTAATTAATTATGATGGAAAACAAACTGACGGAGAACATCTTGCCAAATCTACACATGCTGCTGCATCCATCAAACTCATGCGCGGTCAGCAAGCCAGGCAGACCACCCAAGAATTTGGGCCAACTGCGGCCAAGTGGAGACAAGAGTTGGACAGTCAGAAAGCATCGCATCTCCTGGGACGGCAACGTTTTTGAATCTTCTGGCGCTAGGGAGTAGGTTTCGACCGTTTAGGATTTCAGATTCAGGGATTTCTCTTTACTTTTCGCCGTTACGGCTAGGACCGGCTGGGGTTTCAATCCAGCGGACATCTGACTCCGAAGCCCAAGTGTCGTGATGGCTCACGTAGCTCTTCAACAGCAGGCACACCGTCGTCAGGCGACTCAACTGCCGAACCTGATCAACGCCACGAACCAACTTGGTGTGACTTTCCTTCAATGTCGACTCCACCGCCCACATATCCATGCAGCCACTTTGCAGGACCTGCCCACGACCGTACAGAACTCGACTGTGCAGATCATCGAACAGAAGCATATATGCAACGAAATCGACTGCAGCAATTCGCCGACTGACCTCCAGCAGTTTCGCGACTGACTGTGAGCCGAAGCCAGCACGCGCAAGCTCAAACCGACTGTGAAGAGCAGCATGGATTGCGCGATAGTTGATTAGCAAGCTGCCCGGGGCCCCTGTAAGGGAAACAGCGCATCGAGTAGAGCTCAAAGACGGCATGCTGTACGACTTGCAGCCAACAAAACCCGCAGCTGAACGAAGCACGACTTTGCCGACTCCTGACTGTCATCGTGTCAGCGGTTCAGTCACAACTCAGGCAACCTATACCCCGAAGTTTAGTCCTGGCCCCGGCCCAAACCCCAAGCCTGAAGCCTCCCACCTGCAACGTCGAACTCTTACCCACCGAATAAAGGGCATGTAATACCGCTCGTCATGCATCATGCATAATGACATAATGCCGTAGGAGCTCCGATGCCGAAAAGGGATGTCGTGGCTGCTGCCACGTCGAAGAGCTCCTGGGTGAGAGCGTGCTCGCGGAAAGACCTTTTCCGACATACCCAAAGAATCTTCTTAGGCTGTTAATTGATAGGATATATACTATCCTATTATAGGATATATAGGCTATTTATAAATAGCCTAAATAGTCTATTATAGGATATGTAAATATCCTAAAATAGACTAATTTTCTATGTCTTGAAATGCCATCGTATTGGCATTGAGCTGCAAGGCCACAATAAGTTGCTTGCATCAGTGCCTTCACTTGGCATGTGAAAGGGTCAGCAGGAAGCCAAAGGCTCCTAAGGTTAGAGCTAGGATTCGTAGCGAGACAGGAAACCGAAGGCTAGATCTAGAGTAATGATCGAGAGGAACAGGAAGCCGAAGGCTCCTCTAGAGTAATGATCGACAGGAAGCCCAAGGCTCCTCTAGAGTGTTTGCATGCCTGTAGAGTGTGAGTGCTTGTTTAATGCATGTGCATATATCTGCAGCTTTTGTGCTCGAAGCTCTTAAGCTAGTGCCCTTCGAAGCCATGAGGGTGGCAGCTCTTGTGCTGCTGGTGGCCGTGTGGGGCCGTGTCGACGATGGATGGGAAGTCGTTCGCACGGCCCCTGAAGATGGTGCAGCTGGTGCTGGTGCTGCCCCGAACCAGCCGATGCAGGTGGACGAGGAGGGCCCTCCGGAAGTGCCAGTGCCGGTGCAGGCGGAAGTGATCCCCGGTGCTGGTGCTGCAGGTCCGGAAGTGCCAGTGCAGGCGGAAGTGATCCCCGGTACTGGTGCTGCAGGTCCGGAAATGCCAATGCCGATGGAGGCGGAAGTGATCGACCTGAGCTTCGAGGAATCTGCGGAGCTCCATGAGGCGGCGGAGAAAGCGAAGGCAGCCGCTGCCGCTGAGGCGGCTGAGAGGGCCAAGGCTGCCGCTGAGGCGGCTGAGAGGGCCAAGGCTGCCGCTGAGGCGGCTCAGAGGGCGAAGCTCGAAGAAGCTGAGAAAAAGAAG